ACATATCGAACCATCTATGGTCGTTTTAAGCATCAAGAAGTTATAAAGCATTGGTTAACATTAACAATGTACCATTGGTTGTGGTGTTCTAGGATTCAAAATGATGTTAAAAAAATAGTAATCTGCAATCACATTCCCATTTGTTTTGCACTGTCATTGGATCGTATGTACTGTATGTACATTTCCATGACTATCTTCATTCATTCAAAGTACAACTTTTATTTTAACTGTTATTTTTGGATATTTAAAGGGTTCATTCCTTAATCACTACCTTTTACATGATTTGCTGATGTTCAGTCCAAACTAAAGAATGTGTCCCACAATTTAGTCTGCCTTGTACCACCATGACGTTTGCTATATGCCACTTGTAATCATGTCATACTATCAGTTGTAGAAGATTTATAGATTTTGATGTAGGTGATCCCTAATTCATAACATTACTGGCCAGTTATTTTTTATTTTACCACTGTAGCAAGATTAATTTCATAATCTGTATTGCAACACTGACTTACAGCTCCTTACAATCTCACATGCAGCAGCGATTGCTATTCTAGATAACTGTTTGAAATATGCTTAACAATCACTCACATGCAGCAGCCCTGAATTTACATCTTGGCTTGATATTCTAATGCAGTATAACCGAGGGCTGCAGAATCACAATAAGCATAAAGACAGAGCAGAGGCTTTTGTCCAATAAAATGGTCAAGCATGTCAAAAATAGTATTTTACAGTTACTGTAATTAAGGTAAAAAATTAATTAGGTCCAAATGGCATAATTTGTAATACAACCTATTTGCTTTCTAATCTCTTTTTACATTTCACCACAGTAATAGCTGCGGCTGAAAATAACCCTTCATTGGATAATTTGTTAACCTGCACTGCCCCCAGAGGCTGTCACTGGAAATGCATCTGAGACCTTAATGAATTTTGAGATCAGAGCTTTATGCTGCACAGCTTCATGTTTCAGACATCAGACCACATGTTGAAGGTCAAATGCAATGTCTGAGTGCAGAGTTCATAGTAGGGAGAAAGATTTGGGGGAGTGTAGGAAGCACAGCTAAAACTCTTGTGGCTTTGTACAGCTGCACACTGTGGGAGACTTTGATTTCATGACTGGAGGAAGGATGCTGAGATAAGAATGTGGATTGAACATTTCAAATCAAATAAATGAGTTCAGTTATTAAACTAAAACCTCTTCCAAAAAAACAGGCCACAGATGAACTTTCGCAAACAAAATAACATTGTTCTTAGGTGGTAAAATAGAAAATAAATGTTCCTACGTTTTAAGAAATCTCAACAGATTATTAAAAATATAGATTCAATTTAATATTAAAGTGGAAATTTATTCAGAAATTCAGGTCCTGCTCAGGGGCGGACTGACCACTTGGAAACACGGGCACTGCCCGAGGGCCTGGGGTCAGTAGGGGGCCCCATGAGATGTCCCTGGTACCTTTTTCATAGGCTTTTTTGAGTTTGGGCAAGGACACAGGGGCCCCATGATCCCCTATTGCCCAGGGGCCCCATGAGTTGTCAGTCCACCCCTGGTCCTGCTAGATCTTTTTCAGGCTGGCCCCTTTTGTAGGTATAGCTACGGTATGCAAAACATTAAAAATAAGTGCCTATACTGTTTAAAATCCAGTAATACACTGTCTCACCCTGCTCTGTACATGCTCAGTTGCTCTAACTTTTTTTGGCACTGTGCCGAAAATGTATAGGCCGATCTGCTGACAGCCTAAAGATTCACTGCTGCTCAGGGGCTCTGGGCTTCAGCAAAATGGCAGCCTTCAGCAAGAAGAAACAGGAGCAATGCTGGAGGTGATTCACAGCATGCACTCATTTTGGTAGCATAATTATTAATGTGGAATATACCGGTATGTTCCTTGCTAAAGAACATTATTCTTTATCAAGTTGTTATAGGTAAAGTTCTGCTTTAATAAAACTGGGTATATTTGTTGAGTTCACTGATGTACTCACATAGACCCAACCTGAAGCTGTCTGGCTGATCGAACACTGATGTTCATAGCGTACGGTGCCGTTTCTTCTGAACGCCCAAATAATACAGATTTCTTTGCAATCTGGTCTAATAAGGTGTGCTAGGGCCATTGAGGTTTTTTTTTCACCTTCCTGAAAATTTAAATAATTGAAATAAAAATGAGTGTGGCCAGCTGCCTAAGCAAGAAAATGCACATGTGCCATACAGGTATCATTAAAATCTCCATTCCAAGCACTAACATGTGAAATCTTGTATGCTGAGTGGTGTAGCTTCTATGCACTCAAACTTACATATAAGTACAAAAATACCTATATGTCCTGTACAATACAATACCCCCCCCCCCATTGTAGATGTTAACAATAGGTTAGATACACCTATCACATTTGAGATTGACACTTGAGAATGTAATTTTTGGCTTTGTCATGATATATTTGGATGCTAAAGTGTACATTCCATAGCAAAACTGACTTGGTAAATTCAACAGATTTACATTGTTGTCAGCACACACATTTCCATTTCCATTGTGGGTGGCTAGTAAATAACCTTCCAGAAACGATTTATTTGTCTACATATGGTCAATGCTGCGGCATACATGCATATCCTTTAGTAAATCAGCCCCAGTGTTTTTCAATATCAATTTCAATTTATATATCTATATTAGTAAATTAATTTGTTTGAAGAATGCGCAGTGTTAGTCTCACATATCATGCATGAACGCTATCTCTTTTGAGATTTTTACATTAAACTAGAAGAGGCATCGATAACTTATGTTCATGAAGAAATATTCATTCAGAAAAAATACAGATTATTATAGTTTGAAAAAAATATATACAGTCAGGTCCATAAATATTGGGACATGGACACAATTCTAACATTTTTGGCTCTATACACCACCACAATGGATTTGAAATGAAACGAACAAGATGTGCTTTAACTGCAGACTGTCAGCTTTAATTTGAGGGTATTTACATCCAAATCAGGTGAACAGTGTAGGAATGACAACAGTTTGCATATGTGCCTCCCACTTGTTAAGGGACCAAAAGTAATGGGACAATTGGCTTCTCAGCTGTTCCATGGCCAGGCGTGTGTTATTCCTTCATTATCCCAATTACAATGAGCAGATAAAAGGTCCAGAGTTCATTTCAAGTGTGCTATTTGCATTTGGAATCTGTTGCTGTCAACTCTCAAGATGAGATCCAAAGAGCTGTCACTATCAGTGAAGCCATCATTAGGCTGAAAAAACAAAACAAACCCATCAAAGAGATAGCAAAAACATTAGGCGTGGCCAAAACAACTGTTTGGAACATTCTTAAAAAGAAGGGAACGCACCGGTGAGCTCAGCAACACCAAAAGACCCGGAAGACCACGGAAAACAACTGTGGTGGAGACCGAAGAATTCTTTCCCTGGCCAGATCAAGAACACTCTCCAGGAGGTAGGTGTATGTGTGTCAAAGTCACCAATCAAGAGAAGACTTCACCAGAGTGAATACAGAGGGTTCACCACAAGATGGAAACCATTGGTGAGCCTCAGAAACAGGAAGGCCAGATCAGAGTTTGCCAAACGACATGTAAAAAAGCCTTCACAGTTCTGGAACAACATCCTATGGACAGATGAGACCGAGATCAACTTGTACCAGAGTGATCGGAAGAGAAGAGTATGGAGAAGGAACTGCTCATGATCCGTCGCATACAACCTCATCAGTGAAGCATGGTGGTGGTAGTGTCATGGCGTGGGCATGTATGGCTGCCAATGGAACTGCTTCTCTTGTATTTATTGATGATGTGACTGCTGACAGAAGCAGCCGGATGAATTGTGAAGTGTTTCGGGAATATTATCTGCTCATATTCAGCCAAATGCTTCACAACTCATTGGACGCTTCACAGTGCAGATGGACAATGACCCAAAGCAGACTGCAAAAGCAACCAAAGAAGTGGAATGTTCTGCAATGGCCAAGTCCATCACCTGACCTGAATCCGATTGAGCATTTCACTTGCTGAAGACAAAACTGAAGGGAAAATGCCCCAAGAACAAGCAGGAACTGAAGACAGTTGCAGTAGAGGCCTGGCAGAGCATCACCAGGGATGAAACCCAGCGTCTGGTGATGTCTATGCGTTCCACACTTCAGGCTGTCATTGACTGCAAAAGATTTGTAACCAAGTATTAAAAAGTGAAAGTTTGATTTATGATTATTATTCTGTCCCATTACTTTTGGTCCCTTAACAAGTGGGAGGCACATATGCAAACTGTTGTCATTCCTACACCGTTTACCTGATTTGGATGTAAATACCCTCAAATTAAAGCTGACAGTCTGCAGTTAAAGCACATCTTGTTCGTTTCATTTCAAATCCATTGTGGTGGTTTATAGAGCCAAAAATGTTAGAATTGTGTGCATGTCCCAATATTTATGGACCTGACTGTATATTCTCTTTCTTGCATCTAATATTCACTATTACTTAAAGACAAGCATTTAGAAATCATCTTGACTACATTAACTGCTAAAAGCCAGAATGTGAGTGGCTGCCATAGTATACTATATTACATATTCTTTCTCTGTCAATTAATATAGGTTCCATTTTCTTATGCACTTTAGCAAGTTTCCCTATGAAATCAATGAACCCCATTTGCAAAAAAAAAATAAATAAATATCTTGTGGTCTATGTTTGATGATCATTGAGAACAGCAATCCAACAAACAAGTACACAAATTCTATACATATACAGTACATTATTTACTTCAAATGGGGTGTAAGTGCTATCAGGGAAGCACAACAAGTTCTGGCCCTGATTCCTTTTTCTTTAGCAGGTTCCTAAATGCATCCTCTTTAACCCCTATTTGATTGTTTTACTATTTTTGTTTAACATTTCTGGGAAACCTGTCCAGTCATAGCACTGCTCAGTTGTTGTCATCTTTTTTCTATAACTATTTTGTTCCTATTTTAGGGCCCATGGACCAGATGCCGTGCTTATGGCAGAAGGGAACCGCCCTGCTGAACTAACTCAGTCTCAGATGCTTCACATAGCCCAGCAGATTGCAGCAGGTATGGTGTACCTAGCCTCACAGCACTTCGTCCATCGAGATCTGGCAACAAGGAACTGCCTGGTGGGAGAGAACCTCTTAGTGAAAATCGGAGATTTTGGAATGTCTAGAGATGTGTACAGTACAGATTACTACAGGGTAAGTTTACTTTTTGTTATAATCCTTTGTAGAGACTATGAAAATGGTATAGGCTTTAAGACACAGAACACACAGTAAAGCAGACCTTTCCTTTTTGAATGTTTACTGGAACTGTCCTTAACTATGAATTACTCGCCTTTTAAGAGTGTATAATCAGTTACCAATAACTGCACCAGTCTTTCCACCTGCTACTCAGCTATTCACCCAATTGGGTGCTGCCATCTTGTTTCTCATGCAAGGTAGAGAAGGTGAAGCCATTCCATCAATCATAACCAGACACCTCTGCCTTTCCTATGACATGCCATGTGCAACTGATTCCTACAGAGCAGTAGCAATATGCCAAAGGGAGCAATTAGAGGTGGGGATGAAGACTTGGCTACTGATTTTTGGACAGAAAGGCAAAATTGGCATATCAGTCATAGCAGTGCTTAGTCTTCATAGGCAACATATTTTGGGCATAGAAAGAGTACTGGAGGAGAAAGAGATGAAGAAGAAATTTTGGATGGTATCACTATATTCACATGCTTGGGTAATGGAAAAGTTCCCTTTAAAAGCATAGTAGCTGAAATGAGGTTATGACTCATGATTTAGATTTGCAGAATTTCTGGGAAGTCAGGAAAGCAGTATTGCAACTTCTGTTTCTTCATTTTAAGTAAAAGCTTTTAGGCTACAAACAGTAATCATTGCCACTCAGTCACCTTTATTTTTGTAGTCCATTTGTTTCTTGTCACACACTGATGTGTCCACTTATTACTACATTAGTAATTTATATAAGTGGGGAAGTTCACTTTAAAACAATAAATTATATCCTCTGCTGATTAAAAGCTAACGAATATTTCCATCCATTGTAGAGAAATAATTATACTTACTTCATAGCCATTTCAGTGTTTTTAAGCTCTGACAGTTTAGATTGTGTTGAATGCACTGAGCTGTATGGATCCCTCCTTAGGTCTACATATGCGGTTGCTTTTAATAGGGGAAAGGAGCACCGGTATGAGTAAACACCATCCTGAGGGAGGCCATACTATAAATAAAAGGACTTCTTCCCAGTGGAGCCTGCAGTTGGGTACAAGTTGGGCAGAAGTGGGTACAAATGGGTCGATGTTTTATTTTAACCACTTGTGGACCAATAATGGACTAGCTAAGGTGTAAGAGTTTTATTTAAGTCATTATGTATCTTGTGCACCCTAGAATACCCCTTGTGGTGCACATTCCCACACTTTCCACCCAAAGACCATCTGTCAGTGTGACAGCTGAATTCCTAGTCTGTTTACTAGAACTGCTGAAAGTGGCTCTTTCTTTAATGACACCATGCAACCGTGACAATTTATATATGGAATGCAAGTTTATTATAAATTTATAGTTAGTTGGAGCTGTTATAAGCTGAAAACAGACTGTTTCTGTATGCTGCTAGATGTTTCAGTGGGAGAAATCTGCAAAATGGAAAGAAACATTAAAATGCATCAGACTTTGGGCTTTGTATATGAAAAAATGTGCTGTGTTCAGAATTCACTCAACTGTTGCAAATACCGTATATTTCGCTCCATAAGACGCACCTGACCATAAGACGCACCTAGGTTTTAGAGGTGAAAAACAAGAAAAAAAAATATTCTGAACCAATGGACTGCAGACACAGTACAGGGGATGACCAGAGACTGCGGACACAGTACATGAGATGACCAGAGACTGCGGACACAGTACAGGAGATGACCAGAGACTGCGGACACAGTACAGGAGATGACCAGAGACTGCAGAAACAGTACAGGAGATGACCAGAGACTGCGGACACAGTACAGGAGATGACCAGAGACTGCGGACACAGTACAGGAGATGACCAGAGACTGCAGAAACAGTGCAGGAGATGACCAGAGACTGCGGACACAGTACAGGAGATGACCAGAGACTGCAGACATAGTACAGGAGATGACCAGAGACTGCAGAAACAGTACAGGAGATGACCAGAGACTGCGGACACAGTACAGGAGATGACCAGAGACTGCAGAAACAGTGCAGGAGATGACCAGAGACTGCGGACACAGTACAGGAGATGACCAGAGACTGCGGACACAGTACAGGAGATGACCAGAGACTGCAGAAACAGTACAGGAGATGACCAGAGACTGCGGACACAGTACAGGAGATGACCAGAGACTGCGGACACAGTACAGGAGATGACCAGAGACTGCAGAAACAGTGCAGGAGATGACCAGAGACTGCGGACACAGTGCAGGAGATGACCAGAGACTGCGGACACAGTACAGGAGATGACCAGAGACTGCAGACACAGTATAGGAGATGACCAGAGACTGCGGACATAGTACAGGAGATGACCAGAGACTGCAGACATAGTGCAGATGACCAGAGACTGCGGACACAGTACAGGGAATGACCAGAGACTGCGGACACAGTGCAGGAGATGACCAGAGACTGCGGACACAGTACAGGGGATGACCAGAGACTGCGGACACAGTGCGGGAGATGACCAGAGACTGCGGACACAGTACAGGGAATGACCAGAGACTGCGGACAGTGCAGGGAATGACCAGAGACTGCAGACAGTGCAGGGAATGACCAGAGACTGCGGACACAGTGCAGGGAATGACCAGAGACTGCGGACAGTGCAGGGAATGACCAGAGACTGCAGACAGTGCAGGGGATGACCAGAGACTGCGGACACAGTGCAGGGAATGACCAGAGACTGCGGACAGTGCAGGGAATGACCAGAGACTGCGGACACAGTGCAGGGAATGACCAGAGACTGCGGACAGTGCAGGGATGACCAGAGACTGCAGACAGTGCAGGGAATGACCAGAGACTGCAGACAGTGCAGGGGATGACCAGAGACTGCTGACCTTTGGGAAGGGAGGGGGAGCGGTTACCTGAATTTGACAGGTACCCGCTCCCACTTCCGCGGAGTTGCCTTTCCTCTTCTTCCCGGGCCGGCTTCTGTGACAGCCGGGTGCCCACTGCGCAGGTGCGAGAAGCGCTTCGCTTTGTGAATGGCCCGGCGCCTTCTGGGACCCTTCATGTGTCCCAGAAGACACCGGATCATTCACAAAGCGCAGCACATGCGCAGTGGGCACCCGGCTGTCACAGAAGCCAGCGCGGGAAGACTGTGCAGCGCTGGAGCGAGGAACAGGTAAGGCCCTGCAGGAGACAACAGCTGAGCGGCCGGCCCGGTATTCTGACATGGTGGCCGCAAAAATACCGGACCGGCCGCTTTATATTCGCTCCATAAGACGCACTGACATTTTCCCCCCTTTTTGGGGGGGAAAAAAGTGCGTCTTATGGTGCGAAAAATACGGTAATCCTTGTAATATGTTTAACATGGTTTTTCCTATGATCATCAGACCCATCTAGTGGCCATTATACAGTATTTCTCTGACTGTGGTATTTCAGAAAATACCACATTATGGATGGAGATGACAATCAGCAGTTTTTTTTAATAAATAGACCATTTTGTACCATAGATGTCAGTTTTGTAGCTCATTAGCCTATTTAGTAATGCAGTATTGTGTGGAATGGATGAAATAACAGCTACTGTATAGTTTATTAGTTTATAGGCAGAGTTCATTGACTAAGTGACCCGTGGTAAAAAAAACTGTCATGTAAAAATGTTGGGGGTAACATTCTTCAGCCAAACAAGCTATAGAGTCAAATAATTAGAACCCATTTGTTCTTAAGAATTGACTGTAACACAGTGTAGTGATGAAGGGAGTCATATAAACTGCTGTGTAACAATTTGTGAACCCCACATTTGTATTTTTTTAGTCTTCAGCTTTTTTTCTGATATCATCAAGTACAGTGAATCCCAAAACACCTTCCTAAGTTGAAAGATTGTATATAAAATGTAATAATTATAGAGCATTAGTAGAAAAAGGGGGTAAAGGGAGGCCTATGATAAAGGACTCACCCCTTGTTAGTGGATTTTACTGGTGCCACACCCCTTATTGACAAGATACTGAAACACATGGAAACCTAACTAGAGAAAGCTAATGGGGCTTTAGGAGGTACCACACCAAAATGAAAATATAATACTCAAAATGTAAAAAATACAACTTTATTGAACAAAGTAAAACCACAGTTGTGGTAAGGATTTTGGGCAATCACATAGCTCATCTTAAAAAGCATGTGTAACTTGTAACAAACAGGCTTATCACATGATATTACAAGACATATCCTTGATAACATAAGAACCATAGTTGACATAGTTGCTCCAAAGTTGTGCTTGAATCCCTTTCCGATGTGTTTCCGAGGACAATAGCCCGCTTCCTGAGATATAACATATGATTCCGGTGAGGCATCAAAAGGTTTGTAGAAAGCCAGCAGGAACCATGAGCATAGGATCCAAGAGGGGAGGGTCCCTCCCAGGGACGGACTGACCATTTGGAAACTTGGGCACTGCCCGAGGGCCCGGGGTCAGTAGGGGGCCCCATGAGATGCTCCTGGTACCTTTTTCATAGGCTATTTTGAGTTTGGGCAAGGACACAGGGGCCCCATGATCCCCTATTGCCCGGGGGCACCATGAATTGTCAGTCCGCCCCTGGTCCCTCCATCAAAGGTACAAAGGTGAGCCAAGTGGACAAAACCACAAATCCACATTTAAAGCATGACCAAAGTCAATCCTTAGCCAAAAAGTTTAAATTTAGGTAAATATGTTGGGTATGGATGAAATTAAAGTATTCTCCAAAGGCATAGCGATAGTATATACCTATAAACCCATAAAAGCAATAAGTGGATGATACCATATAAAATGTTCAGTACAGTGAACCTCAAAACACCTTCCTAAGTTGAAAGATTGTATGTAAAATGTAATAATGATAGTATGTCAAATGAGATGATACAGAAGGAAGGTGTCATCTCCCAACGCATTTTGCCACATTGGCTTCTTCGTGGGTTCAGATAGGGTTCACCATACTGATGCTCAACCCAACATTACATGGCCATATAGGGATAGTAAGATAGGAACAATTAGATGGAGACCAACAAGGAGCAAAACGGTGGGACCCCTCTCAGGACACCAGAGGACACAGGTGGATGAGGGGGGGAACAATTTCCTCAAACCGTAATGTAATCTTGTGTGTGGTAGCTTGGATCAATATACAACGCCAGCCCACAGATAACAAACAGACAAGTGTGGGACAGTGTAGCCAAATACCTTAAGCAACTATTGTAACTAGATGGCAAGGCTCCAGATGGTAGCCAATAGTATTAATTCAAACTGCCAGGCATACCTCAGCCTATAGTAACACATCCTAATCCCAAAAAGGAACTGCTGATTAGTAACAAGTACAGTACATCATTTTCAAACATTCAAATCCAAGCAGTAAAAGGCATTGCAAGCTCACCAATGAGTGGAGGCTGCTGTAGAGATAGAAGAGACATTCTCCTTATACTTATAGAGTGATTTATAACCAAGTTCAAGCATACATAATACACATGCATGCTTTTGAATATATCATATCAGCAACTGTAATTAACCTGTAGAGTATTATTATTATTATTATTATACAGGATTTATATAGCGCCAACAGTTTGCTCAGCGCTTTACAATATAACGGGAGACAATACAGCAACAATACAGTTCAATACGAGAGGAATAGGAGGGCCCTGCTCCTTGAAGCTTACAATCTAGGAGGGAGGGGCTAGTGGTACAAAATGTAGTAACTGTGGGGGATGGACTGGTAGGAGGAGTAGAAGATTCCACTATTAGCTGAGGGCAGGATAGGCTTCCCTGAAGAGATAGGTTTTCAGAGATCGCCTAAAAGTGAGCAGAGTAGGCGATAGTCTGATAAATTGGGGTAGAGAGTTCCAGAGGATGGGGGAAGCTCTGGAGAAGTCCTGGAGAAGAGCATGGGAGGAGGAGACAAGGGAGCTAGAGAGTAGGAGGTCGTGCGAGGAGCGGAGAGTACGGTTTGGGTGATATTTGGAGACAAGATCGATGATGTAATTTGGGGAAGAGTTATAAATGGCTTTATATGTTATTGTTAATGTTTTGAATTTTATCCGTTGGGCAATGGGAAGCCAGTAGAGGGATTGGCAGAGAGGGGTGGCTGATACAGAACGGTTAGTAAGGTGGATGAGTATAGAAAGTATTATAACAAGTAACAACTGTAAATAGTGACATTTACAGACCAGAGGTATTAACACCACACTTATCTCATTATTCTGCCACTCACTATAAGATCTATAAGAAATGATCAGATGGTAGGAGGGCGATTTACTAAAATTGAAGAGTACAAAAACTGGTGCAGCTCTGCATAGAAACCAATCAGCTTCCAGGTTTTATTGTCAAAGTTTAATTGAACAAGTTGAAGTTAGAAGCTCATTGGCTACCATGCACAGCTGGACAGGATTTTGCATTGTCCAGCTTTATTAAATCAACCCCTAGGTGTTGTTATTCGGTCAGTTGCAGATTAAAGACACCAAGAGAATATAACAATATGGATTGGTAAACCCTAACAAGCAATGCACATAGGTAAGTATGCTATGTTCCAAAATTGTGTTTCGCTGTCATTTTTTCAAAAGTAATTTTATGTGTAAAAGAAAGCCGTGAACAGCTCTTCAGCTCTGCTCTGCTACAAGAGCACACGTCATGGGTATGGGTAGAACAAAAGCTGAAAGTTATGCAGTAGGCTGGTCTCACATATACTTTCTAACAGCCAACCAGCAGCCCATGTATCCTACAATAGGGTGACGATACTGCTCCTCCAGAGACATGTGCTTTTCAGCATTGTCACCCTAAGACATGAGGTCTGGCTTGGATCAGCAGATCAAAAATTAAGGAATCGAAGTCTCAAGTAAGGAAAACACCTTCCTCCTAGCAATCAATGGAAGCTAAGCTACCTGGCCTTTTTGTGACTTACATAAACCTTTATATTCTGTTAATGTCTGGAAGTTTATTTGTCTTGCCATATAAAATTACAGTGTGCTGCTGTGATATCTCTGTGCACAGACGCCTGCTCTCAGTGACACATTACACAGACCATAAGCTATGTGTCGAGTAGCAAAGTGCTGTACTCATCTGGATTTCAAAATGAAGATTTCTCTAATATCAAGTGTCATCACAGAATTTCTCTGACTCTCAAGGCATCTCTACTATGTAGAAATATGAGAATCTAATCTCAGTTGGCAGCTTCCTACAGTGACAATAAAAAAGTCCTCACTTTACCCTCTGGTCCCCAGTTACTTCCTCCAAAAGCTGTTGTCACTGCCTTTGCCTTTCATGGGAGAAGAGGAGAATGCAGATCACATGTGTATTTTCCTCCAGTCACTACATAGAGCCTGTTAGTTCTGTACAACAACTGGAGGGAGGCGCACACATGGTTTGCACCACTGCCTTCTTCTTTATTTACAGGCAAAAAAGCAGAAGGAATGAGGAAAGAAGATGTTTGAGTCCTTGAGCCCCTGGTTTTTACAGTGCATCCATAAACTGCCAGGATATGTATAAATTCCACACTACATTAACAGGATACAATGAAAGGCTACATGCAAGGACCCCAGTATTTAAAGCCCCAACTCCAGGCAAAAATGAAGTTTAAATATTGGATTGTGCATCAAGTACCTCACTCCTCTGTCCTGATTCCAAACACCTAACCCATCTTGCAGTGGATCAAAGTAATAATTTAAGTCAGGCTAATTTCCTTCCATGGGGACTGGGCATTTTCCCTCCTAGATATCTTCTTGAGCACTGGTCCCCTCACCACCACTGTGAGTTTTCCTGCCTCAGGACCCTATGCAGGGCTGTGGATAAGGGTGTACCACCAGTTCTCCTGTATGGGGCCC